GAAAATATCACTGATTTTATACACATGCAGACCAATACAAATAATCATCCAGATGCGAGCTTGCTATTCAAGCAAGTTTCTTCTCAGAGATAAAAACTACAGATACAGATCACTCAGCCTCACAAAACTATGCAACCAATAATGTTGAGTGATTCCACCATAGAATGAATGAATCTTGAAATTAGAGGCATTCCGGCCACCACAAGGAGCCAGTGCATAGGCCGTTTAAGTGGGCCCTTATGCACCTCTACAATCCGTAGATCACAAGCCTCGCCCTTTTAGCGAAGTTGTCGCCTTGAGTCCAAGCTTCTTGACGTCCTGAGGGTCCAAAGTAATGGACCCCAGTATAGTCTGTCTATAGTAGCGCAGAGCTTCACAGCGACACAAAACCTGCGCCGAGGTCTCTTCCTCTCTACCCCGCAGCGTTCACACAAGGGATCCTCAGCCACCCCCATTACGTGCAGGTGACGCCTTAACGTGTTATGGCCAGACAACAGTCCCACCAGCAACATTAGGTTGGCTCTATCCAGAGATAGGCAGAAGCGTCCATCCTTATCACTGGGCCCTTCAATCAGTTCCCGTGCCTGGCGGAGATGTCTGGAAATACTTCTCCATTTTTGAGAGTGTTATCTTGCAACCCACGCCTCCATTTTCCTCCTAGCTTTATGCGCGGTCACTCCTAGAGCTGGCTCAGGACGAACGAGCTTGCTGGCTGATAATGTCTTCGCCATAGTGTCCGCCGTCTCATTACCCCTTATCCCAGCGTGCCCCGGTACCCATATTAACGATACCGGATGCCTCGCTGCGAGGCAATCCAGAGCCTCCCTGCATTGCAATACAAGACTCGAAGTAATCTTACAGGCACTTAGTGCTTTCGTTGCAGCCTGGCTGTCGGATAAGATTGTTACTCTTCTCCTAGGCCCACCCTCCTCCAATGTGAGATACACAAGCCAGAATCGCAAAGATTTCCGCCTGGAAAATAGTGGTGTATCCACCGAGAGGCAGAGATAGCCTAGTTCTAGGCCCAGAGACCCCAGCACCTGAGCCCTCTTCGGTGACCGAGCCATCCTTGTACCAGACCTGCCCGCTCACTCCGGAGAGTCCCCGGCTACCGGCGTCCCACTCCTCCCTCGTTGGATACTCCACAATTAGCTTGCGGTTGAAGCGATATTTAGGGGTAATACGATCACCCCTGCTTAGAAGAACTGGGTCCTCCCTTTGCAATTCGACTAAGATGGCAGTATGCCCCTTGACAGGATTCAAGAAAGCCCTGACTCCACAGTCGATGAGCGACTACTCTCACTTCGCCGCGGCTCACCAGATCCAACGGTGGGAGATCCAACAGAGCTTCCATTGCACTCAATGGCGTTGTTCGCACTGCGCTTGTAATACTAATACAGGCCAAACGCTGAATTTTATTGAGTTTGGCCTTAGTTGTCTCAGTTCTAATGCAAGGCCACCAGACCAGGGAGCCGTACAAGAGAGATGGACGTACTATCGTCGTGTAGAGCCAGTATACCACTTTGAGTTTAAGCCCCACCTTACACCGACAACACGTCTACAAGCCCACATCGAATTGCGAGCCTTGCTGAACTTGTATTCAACATGATCTCTCCATTTCAGTTTGCAATCCAGAATAATTCCCAGACATTTCACTGACTGGGACAAAATTAATCTAGTCCCAAAGAAGGTCGGCATGACCAGCCCGTCAGGCCTTCTTCTCCTAGTGAATAGGATCAGCTCGGTCTTTTCAGCATTAACAGAAAGATCGACTTCCCTACACCACGATTCCACAGAGCGCAGAGCGCCCTGCATAATTTCCGACAATGTTCTACAAAAACGCCCCCTAACTACTATGTTTACGTCATCAGCATAGGCTTGCACGTAGACACCCATACTGCTGAGCCTAACGAGGACTTCGTTCACCACGATACACCACCGTAGGGGTGACAGAACTCCACCCTGAGGGCAGCCTCTAGCTACACTCACGCTGCAGCTTACGTCATTCAGCATAGCTGTTGTACCCGACTCTACAGAGTAGGTAGGGCCCAATCTATTAGGATTGATCCAACCCCGTGTCTAACCAAGGCATGTCTGATAGAGTGGGTTGTGGTGCAATTAAATGCACCTTTAATGTCCAAAAAGGCCACGAGTGCCACTTCTCGCTGATCTAGAGTCTTCTCCAGCCTACCGACCAGATTGTGTAAGGCCAGATCAGTCGATTTTCCAGCTTGGTATACAAACTAATTTGCACCTTTCCAGCGGGCCATCCCTTAAGTATCTATCAACTACCCTTTCCAGTGTCTTAAGCACAAAAGATAAAAGGGTAATCGGTCGAAAATCCTTCGGGCCAGTAGATGGACGTTCACAACGATTCTAGTGAGCAAACGTGGAATGACTGTTTGCGCCCTAAAGACTACCTAGTCTGCAAGTTGACATCTTATAGGTTTTTTTAACGTTTCATAGGTTTTTTTACATGATACCCGTGCGGAGGTTCGGCCACGTTTAAGTTCGTTGAACCAATATCTAACTGTGGTCATGGATGACAAAGTATCCCCATAAACAATATCCAACTTTGCTTTTATCTCCTCGCATTTTTTCCCATCAAAAAACAAAAGGCCAATTACCGAACGATACTGCTCTTTTTTTATCTTAGCGAAAATCAAGAAACACGTGTTACTCGAATGGCTGCTAAACCCAAACTAACCTATCAATCAGACCGAAATTTGTTGTGCCGTCGTTTGATACATGGCAGCACATGAACTTCCCTCAGGAACGCCCTGTTTCGTGAAACACGGGTACTTATTGAACCGCCCTCGTATCTGTACAGAATGTTCATTTGAAAACTTCCCACCACGGATTTGTCGAGACCTTTCAAACAAGCTATTACTCGATAGCCCTTGTCATTTAAAATGTTTAAGGGAATGCCTCTGGGGGCCGAGGATGAAAGGGGGTCAGGTAGTTTTTGGTTTAAAAGTTGACCCCCTTGACAAATCTTTTGACGTGTCTCGACGTTTTTTCTTTTAATCAGTGGTTTTCGATAAATCCGTAGTGGGAAGTTTTCAAATGAACACCCTGTATAATTGGGGAAAAATGTGTTTTTGAATAATTTATGCTTAATATTCTGTTGTTAAACTATTATATAATTTTGATAAAATCGTTTTCAATTATGTTTTTAAGTTGACACCAATGATCACCTTTATATACTATTGGCGTATCGTCTACAAAACTTGTTGTTTTGAAGCACAATCGATTGTTAAGGTGGTTTGATGGCACCAAAAGAAAAAAAAATACACGCAGGATGTAGGGACCAAAATCTGAAAGCATGGCCGAAGACGAGCTGCAAAATAAAGACGTTTCATCCTTCGGGGTACGCGTGGCTAGCCGGAGGTGGGTTTTTCTCAAAATTTATATCAAACTGCAAACGGTAGCTCAAAAACTGGATTATCAAAAAATTGTTTTTTGAAATGGTTAAACTGCTCATTTTCTTTGATCAGGGTGATTTTTTCTTGAAAACTTGGTTTGCATTATAGAGAAAACCAAAACTTTTTGAAAAAAAAAAATTATATGATAAAGAAATCATCCATGCTAATCTACTATAAATATGTCATACAATTTCAGAGTTGTACCATTATTTGTTGAAAAGCTAGGATTGTAGAAAAAGATGGATGCCAGAACTTTTTTGCGGTACAAATCTGCTGATATTGCTGATCATTCATCTCTGTGCGCATCATGAAAGAAAATAATTAAAAATACTCCTTTAAACAGACTGTAGACCAATTGGGATGAGCGTCCTTAAGGGGGTTTTGTTAATTTATTCTGCAGCTATTTTCATCCTAAAATGTGTCAAATAGGAGATATTTTTCAATATTTTTCAAAAAATTCTTTTTGGGCCACCATTTTCCTGAAACGAAACTTTCAAGAAACATAATACGAATAGATTTTGTATATTTCCATAGTTGTTACTTGATACCAATTTTTGACAAATATATGGATGCTAAATATTGTCATCTTTAAAATAATTGTCATTTTAGATAAAACGTATGATTTAGTAGGAAAACCCCAGTATAGAGTGTGGAAGATAAAGCACTACGAGTAAAATTGTTGGTTATAAAAGAAACGTATTTTATTAGAAGCTCAATGAGTAATTCCATCGATTACTAATTTTTATTACAATGTAACCTAATAATGAAGAAAGCGTGAGTGTAATTTTAGAGCTAGCGTCACCGTACTTTGTACTACCAAATACATACAACGAGGTTAGAAATTATTCAAGACGTTAGAAGAAGGAAGGCCATATTTGCGGTTTACGGTCAGTACGTGGCTAACACTCTTCTATCGCCTGATGAATCATGCATATGATTAATGGTTTCCTTGTAGGAGCAATGAGGACGTGGTCGGGAATACAGAATAGCTAATATCTGCTGACTTCTAATGTGAAATCAAAAATTTTTAGTTAGGCTAATAAGTAATGAGCACAACATTTTTTATTTTCTAGGAAACCTTAATAGAGTCAAGTGTATTAATGGGGAGTATACAAAGAGCGAGTCTCCATCATCAGTGTTGGGCGGTCCGGTTCTAGTAAAAAATTTGGTTCCCCTGGATTCGTTCCATTGTTGCACCCGTTCCAACGGATCCGCGCGGGGGTATAACGTACCATGTCGACTTTTTAACATTATATTGTAGCTGTAGGTGTTGCCTAAACGTCATGACGCTTGAGCTAACATGGTTTGGCTCTGATGTGATGTACCATCTACTTCAGAGATGGCATTTTTGGTAGGCGAAATGGCAGGGCATAGGTGCTTAGTGAGGATTTCTTGCAATAAGGCATTTTATTTACTGCTTATACTTAAATATAAGGATATGTGTGTAAAGGCTGCTCCACACAGTGCCGCCGGGCAAGCCGCTGGCTAAGCAGTCGTAGACCCGGCGGCATACAAGGCGCCGGGGTGTGCCGACGGGTTGCGCGGCTTGCCGGCGTCACTTCGTTCCTGGCATTCGAGCGGTAGTGTTGTGCAGTTTGTGTGTTTAAACAAATTAAAATGTCGTTTAATTGGGACGACGAAGCTGTGCTGCTCTTAATTGAAAAATTTCATGAAAATGATATATTATGGAATCCCAGAAATGCAGACTACAAGAATAGGAACAAACGAATGGACGCATTGAACATAATTGCAAGTGTATTCGACATTGATAAAGGCGAAGTAGAGAGAAAGCTAAAAAATTTAACCTCTCATTATTTTCGGGAAAAAAAGAAGTTCGAACAGTTGCAAAAATCTGGTGCAGGCATAGATGATGTACAGGAACCAAAGTGGTTTGCTTACAAAGCATTGAACTTTTTGCGAGACAAAAATAAACCACTACCCACAGTAAATAGTGAGAATGATGTAAGTATTCATGTTTCCTATATTTATTGTTTATTTCATCAGTTGTAAATCAATATAAATTGGTTCAGTAGTTCCGATCCTTTGTTCTCAGTAGTTCCTTTGAAGGAACTAATGTTACTTTTTTGTATCAGTTGTTCCTTCAAGAGATCTAAAGGAACTATTGAGACGGCTTACCAATATAATATTAGTATAAATATTAACCCATTTATGCCTAAAGACTTGCAAAAAAGTTTTTTTATTATTTTTTAAAAAACCTTATTAAAAGACGACACTTTGGAGGTATTTTCAATTTATTCTAAAAAAATACATAAACAGTTAGTTTTTTAGGATGTACATAGTACATTAGGAATAAAGGTAGCTAGAAGAATAATAATAAAAAAAACATTGAAAATAGTACAAATATTTTGAAACACATCAATATTGCAAATTTTAAAGAGTATGATATTGAACAAAAAAAACATTTCACGTGAAGACCGACATCACATTTTCTACATCTAGTAGTCGTGCGCTCATGACAGTGTGCACACCTTGTTTGTTTGCCTTGTGGAATGACTAAATGATCTAAGCGATCATACCTCATGTCACCAAACTTTCTTGATTTACCTTGCTGGTACGTATAAGTCTTCTTATTTTGTGTCAAGATAGTTGTAGCTACACTTCTAAATTGTAATTGATCCACGTTATTTCCTCTCTTTTTATAAATATGCCAGGCGTTTGTCAGGGCCATATCTTCTCATTGAGAGATCAACGAGAAATACCATTTTTTTGCCCAGGATTTGTACTCTGTATTGAGCTATATTCTGGTCTGACCTATCCACCCCGCCCATACATTTATTATACAGCTTGACAACCTTTTTCTTTTTGAGAATACCGCTTTACTGAATTTACTGGTTCAATTCCAATCGCTGTAGACCCAAAAGTTACAACATTGTTTTCATTCCAATTTACAAAAATTAAGTTTTTATCTTTTACTTTGGTATAATCAAATACTCCACGTTGTTCCTTATTCATAAGTTTCGAATTTTTCAAAGAAGGCATGGGTATACGATTTTCAGGAATTGTTCCTGTACCACATATGCCTTTTTCAGTCAAGCTTTCAAACAAAGCTGGCGAAGAAAAAAAATTAACAAATACAAAATGAAACCTAAGATTTGCCCATTTGCTTTTTAGCCTATCAGCATAGCTCAATACAACTGATGCGCGAACACCTAAAGATTTGTAAGCCGCGTTCACATACGCCGAAGCACCCTGACAAGGTTCAAACCATAAGATATAACCAAGAGTAGTTGCGCCAACCCAAAATTTGAACCCATAATGTATTGGTTTCCCGTGGATATACTGTTTACAACCATGTCGCCCGTTGTATGGAACCATTGCCTCATAAATACTATGATGCTCTTCTGGTACTGCGTATTCCAAAAAAAATTGATTTAGGTGATTGAAAAGACGCCTTAGTTTAGCAAATTTATCATTTGCAACCAGAGCTTCATTGTTTAGGAAGTGAATGTGAGACATTATAAATTCAAATTTATCGCGAGAAATAGCTTCAGAAACAAGTGAGTAGTGTGAATCACTGGATTTTTCGCAATACATCCTTCTGCGAGATACACTACTGTAGCCACTCAACAATAATATGCCTAGAAAACATTTGATTTCAGATTTGGTAACCATAATATTCCTGTTTTTCTGTTGAGCATACCGATTTATCTCCTCAACTATTATGTTCAAAATTTTGCCATCAAAAAAACAAAAAAATATCTCGGTTGGGGACTGCTCTTGTTCATTTTGATTTTCGTTGTTTATTGGAAACGCATACTCATTTCTTGGCAAATCTTCTTTTACGTAATTATGTTTTCTTCTTTTTCACTTCCTTCCGATTATGACCCCTGATTTCACTGAGTGGTATTTCATCTTCTGAACTCCACATATCCTCGCTTTGATTCCTATTTACTTCGACCTCAGCTTGCATTAAGCTTCCTGGCAAGTTGTTGATATCCAGTCTTTCTTCGTCACCAGAATCCTCGTCGGTTATGTTACCGCATTAGTGGGAGGTAACAAAGTGATAGACTCAGCTTCAATGTCGTCATCTTCTATCCTTGCTAGCGCCTCTTGCAAAGAAAAACCCCTGAAACAAAATAATTACTTATTCAAAAATAATTTACCTAAAACCATTTTATTTTTGTGTTGACTATGAACATATTCGTAGCACCCTTTTGTCCTGATGTTCTAAATATAGTACACCTAACTTTATCATAACCGCACAAACAAAGCATAAATGAAACACATCATGAAATCATAAAATCTAGAAGCCGCAACTTTGCAAAGCGCCATATTCATTCATCTTCGATTTTGCAATATACAAAAACTGATTTCACATACAAAATATTGCACAATATGCAAAATTACTCCGTACTGTACGAGATCCACCCGCAAACTGTCGCCGCAAGCGACTCAATTTAACCAAATCGGACAGATATCTACAGGAACAAACAAGTTTAGGCTTTACTATTCATAGTACATTAGGCATAAATGGGTTAAATACCTCCCATGATAAAAAAATTATATTATTTCCTTCTATTTATAGATGGATTCGCAAAAAAGTCAGCAAGACAATGCAACAGCGACTAGTTCCCGGAAAAGAAGATGCGGTCCTGATGGAGACAGTGATATTGCCGAAGCTCTGCAAGTTTTAAAAAATATGTCAGCTTCGTCATCTGCTCGCGACGATGCCTCGGTATTCGGAGAATACATAGCAAGTAAAATACGAAAAATGGATCCTATGACAACATCTACAGTACAATATCATATTCAAAATATAATTTACCAGGCTGAAATGGGCGTTTACTCAAGACCTTCCAAGGTGGAGGCAGTTCAAGGATATTTTACCACTTCGACACCTGAAAGTGTATGTCCTTCTAATTACACCGATAATTCTGATACTAAGGACAGCCTTTTTTTAGATTTGGAAAATAATTAAAACTCTTTTAGATTTATGATGCTACATTAGGGATTTAATAATTAAAACTATTATTGCAAATTGTGATTGATAGTGAGATTAGTGGGGCTACACAGATTAACAAAATGTTGCCTAGTCAAAGTTATACTTAAAATCTCATTATATAGATTCATATGCTAAATAAATGTTGTTCCCTATCAAAAAATGTTTGATTTATGAAATGTAATTTTGCCGTGGAAGTTGTCCTTGCTCTGAAAGAAAATAGTTCATCAACTCATTTCTGACCATTGAAGGTTGCAAATTTCGATTTATTTCAACATTTGGTGCCGGTATCGTTATCATATTATCGTCAACATCAACGTCATTTCTTCGGATAAAATTGTGCAGGCATACACAAGCCATTAGTACAATTTTCATTTTCTCTGGCTGTAAATTAGCCATTGAATGAAATATTCTGAAGTTTTCCGATAATATGCCAAAAGCATTTTCCACGACTCTCCTTCCCCTGCAAAATCTGTAATTGCATATTATTTTCGGTGAGCCTCGCTCATGTTGTCCAGGAAACGGTTTCATTAAGTTAGGAGAAATCGGAAAAGCATCATCACCGAGGAAATAAAATGGTACATTCATTGTCCGTCCAGGTAAAGGTCTTGGTGTCGGTAGATTTATAGATTCATTTCGCAATGCTTCGTAAAGCGAGCTATTTCTAAAAATACCCCCATTCGAGAATCTTCCTTGACAACCAATATCGACGTACAAAAAATTATAATTAGCATCGATTAATGCCAACAACACAATACTGAAATACGATTTATAATTAAAAGATTCTGAGCCACTATTATTGGCGCGTTGTATACTTTTGTGTTTCCCATCAACAATTGGGAACATTCCATTTCTTGAAAAACAAACGTGACACCGAAAGCCACTCTGTGGTCGGCATCTAGAAGAAAAAAAGGAAATAATAATTAATTTAAAATAAGTTTAAAAAAATAAACATCCTATACTTATATAGTGACATATACGTAACCTGTATAATAACATATACGTTTAGCGTAAGTGCTTGAACGCCTTAATGCAATGCTATACTCAAATTTTATTCAATTCTAGCAATATCACATACATTCAGGCCATATCATAAATAAAAATAAAATAAATAAATAAAAAAAATATTTGGTCAATAGAGGACAAATATACAGGTACATTAGGTTATCGTGTTCTCTAGCTTCCCCTCTAGGATTCCCTGTGAGTGAGCTTCCCTGTGACTATCAAGAGTGAGTCATTAAAAAATATATATTTACCTTGATTTGAAATTTTGCTTCACAGACTTCGGGAATCAGTGAGGAAAGAAGTGGTGGTGAAATTTTAAACAGTTCTCCAAGACTGAAATAACTTTCTCGTGTAGCTAAAAACCGCAACGTTACTGCCAATCTTTCTTTAGCGGGTACAGCCTTTCTCCAGCCAGTATTTTTTTTGCTAATGTACACTTCGATACTATCTAGCAAAAATTCAAAATCTTCATATGTCATTCTCAGAAACCCAAAAAACACGCTTTTGCGTAAACGCTGACACCCCACTCATCTTTTTTATACTCGTCTATCATTACAGTACCGTTCCGCCATTTTCTATTTTGTAAACTTGGGCGCACCCAAAACATTCTCGTCCTTTTGTATTTTTTTCTTATTAAAATAAAAATTACAACTGCTGCGGCTGTGCTGGTGATTTCCTTATTCATTTTAACCAACCAAACCATAAAATGTGCACTTCACTAGCGTTCTACACTCCATTTGTCTTGATATCGTTTTTCCGTAGCAGAAATGCCATGGTGGAACCTTTCACCATGTTCATCACTTACCGCACCTAAATTTTCCGGAAAAAAATCGAGATGAGAATCAAAAAAGTGAATTTTTAGAGACATGGTACAAGCCATTCCTTTATAAGCTTTAATTAGTTCGCTCACAATATCTTTATAATTGTCCGCCTTCACATTGCCTAAAAAATGTGCAGTAACTGATTTGAAAGCATTCCATGCTCGTAATTCAGTTTCATTTAGAGTTTTGTCAAATACATCATCCTTCATGATTTTCTGTATTTATGGACCCACAAATATGCCCTTTTTAATTTGTGCCTCACTAAATCTCGGAAAAGTTTGTTTAAAAGGAAGAAACACTCTTCCATTTCGATCCATAGCTTTCACAAAATTTTTCATCAGTCCCAACTCAATATGCAAAGGTGGAAGCAACACGCTTCTGCGATCAACTAGTGAGTTGATACCTGATGTAGTGGCCACTCCTTCTGTTCATAATGACGATCTCGCGCACGACTGGCCCATTCAAAGAAAACAACAATATTTGGCATATCCCAGTTGCATTCCAAGAAGAAGGGCTATTACCTTTAAATCTGCACATATGGCCCATCCATATTCATTATAACGAATATGCTCTAACAGAGCTCGCATATTTTCGGATGATCCCTTCATATGAACTGCGTGCGCTATATGTACAGATGGATATTTATTACCGTTGTGTACCAATACCCCCTCTAAACTAAGCTTAGAGGAATCAATGATCAGGCGCCAATCATTTAGATCATGTTTCTGTCCTAACGGGTCAAACAAATTGTTGACATCGGAGCAATATATCAACATTCTTTCTTGTAACAGTGTGTATCATTTTCGGCAAAAAGTTATGTTAACATCGCCGTGGAGAAGATTCCATCCTTTTAATCTTGACGCTAAAAGTTCTGACTGGGATTTTGACAGATTTAATTCGCCCTGTGTGATCAAATGCGGCGCTGTTGAACATCCTGGCAGGTCAAACGAAGGATCGGAAATTTTTATGCTTTCTGTACTCACTTTCAGAATCGGTGGATTCGACTTTGTCATCCAAAGACCAAGATTTTGGTGGAACTGGGACAGAAAGTTCATCACTATGCTTAACGGGCCGCAAAGCTGATGGTAAATTAAAATACTTAACAGTATGTTTCGATTTTGGTCCAATACCTTTAGGTAATATTTGTGAGGCAAAAATAGCAATCAGTAGTATGGTCTCTCGGTTCTGTCCAAACCATTGGTACCGCAATGGGCATTTTACGATTGTCGCTTCTTAACCAATCTATTAACAACGTTACACAAGTCTTACAACATATATGAGAGGCCCATAGTTTATCTTGGTCGCCAACTTTAATTCCAAAATAAAGTTCGTATGCTTTCAACATAAGGAGAGTAAAAGTATGTTTTTGGGATTTAAAAGTTAGCTCTCCGCGCACATAACAAAAACTGTTCACACTATTTACATAATTTCTAGGCATTGTCCATAAAGCTAGTCTCGATCACAATAAACTAAAAACAACACACCGTTTTAACAAAAAATAACAGTACTCAGAACATCCTCAGTACTCTTCAACACAGAAAACGTAACTGACTCGACTGCTATTAGTCTACTAATACACGCAATATGCTCTCTAAACATAGAACTCGCATATAATAAACAGGAATAGACAGGTCTTAACATTATATATATGCGTCATCGCATAAACGCCGAGAAATGCAGAAATATGAGATGTTACGGATTGTAATTCATAAAAGTAGATGTTACCGAATATCTGTGGGTGATAGAAAACTTCTGTTTTTAGATTTGATTTAAGGGTCTCAAAATACATAAGATACACCCAAAAATTGTCATGTCATAAATCCTGTGTTTATCAGTGCAATCTATGGTTATGATAATTCCCTGGTTTCTTGTCTCAAATACGCTTGCTTGAGATTTGTTTTATTCTGGATAGTACATATGCAAATTTACTGGATTTCAAAAATGAGAGAGAGAGATAAATAAAGAATCCCTGGTTGGTGAAGTATATTACAACTAACATGTTAGAAAATAGGCTAGAGACAAGAATATTTATTGCGTTTTACATTTTTTTTATAGGCCAACTGAGGTGGGACCAATTTGAACTGGTACTCATTATTGTCAGATATACGATAGATTGGTGATTCATTTAAATACTGAAAGCTGAATGCATTATGCAGTATTGGATCGTATCGTTTTACGGAATCTCGAATTGTTGTTGGTGCAGCATCAACTGTTTTATGACCATTATATAACTCAAAAAAATAGTATGGCGGTTACTCTTTGTTCTATATGAAACAATCTGTATTGCGTTTACAGTCCTAACTAAGTGATTATGACTTGAATGTTCATGTAAGTTCACAGTGAACATGTCGGATCGCATGGTTTACCAGACCGATCTGCGCACTTCGGTCCTTGGCAGAAAGAACGCAGGATTCGTTACGTAAACAACATACATATTTCACACATCAAAGCTTTTCCGGCACATTTATAGATGAGACACGCGGTCGGTCGAGATGATGCGACGCAACGGCGAATTTCATACTCCGAACACTGCCATGTGTCTGAAAGCATCGCCGGCAGGGATGTTATAGTATCGTGGCTGGTACTTATGACGTCTTTGACTAACGTGTTCCAGCAGCGTTGCCAGATGGTCTATACTGAGGAGAGAAGAAACTGGCGTTAATGTCTGTCTGACTTGACTCATTTTGTTTTTTTGTTATACATGTTTGTAGCTAGCTCAAAGGACCGATTATAATTCTTTCTGACCAGATGACAGCGTTACGTGGGAAGTGCAAAGTCAGCCTACCTCCCAATTACCCAAAAAACCTAATGTTTTTTCGAGCAGATGCGAATATGCTTCCTGAACTATACAGGATCCCACAATCCATGCACTAACCATCAATGAACCGTGCAAACCAATTGGAAATTCACCCGTCCAAACGAGCAATCCGCAATGCGTCCATCATATGTCATTAAAAACCCCGTATAATTAGCCGGCAAACGTAACGTTTACCATTTATACACGTTCCGGGCATCGGCTTGTTAAATTGCATTTTGATTAAATTCCAACGTTAATTAGAGGCGGTTGCACTAGAGAGTAGTTTTTTCGCACGTCCATCCAACCGTTCAAACGCAAATTCAGTTTGATTGGTAGCTGTCGTGTATTGATAATTTCAACGTGATTTAGGAGGTGGGTTAAATGTGTTATGTATAAACAGTATCAAAAAAAAAAATAGAATACCTAGTATAAGTGAAGTCAATTTATAGTCCCGCTAGTTAATACAGATTCTCTGTA